ACTGAATTTGGCATTTAACCGAAACAAAAATGTTATTTTTATTTTTAAAAAATGATTGATAAATAATTTTTATATAACTTTTTTTATCTTATTTATACAATGAAAGACAATATTAGCACCTGACCCTTCAGGTCAACTGACATCCTATCAAGTTGAGGTGCATTCTCTCTCCTCCATGAACGGGTTTCGAGCCTGTTCCTTGATAACTTGTTTAAAAAAAAAAAAAAAAGACAATATTAATTCATCCTTTATTTTTTATCCCACCTACATATTATATTACTTGAATTTAGAACTTCCTACCTATGTCATAGGCTTTATATAATTTTTTTATATAATTTTATATATTATTTAATTATTGATTCTTTTCATTTTGCTAAGACTCATAATATTATATGAATATATGTAGCTACTTATTTAATAAATAAATGTAGAACAAAAATGTTATACCGATACATATATTATTACCCTTCATTTTAGCATCAATGCCATATGTATCATTTTAATTGATTAATCTATAAATTTAAGTCAATTTTTATTTTTTTTTCTTTATAATTTAATTAATAAAAGAATTATCAATTGCTTTATTAACTTATATTCTTATAGGACATGTTGAAAAAACTTGTAACTTAATAACATGAAATTATCTCCTTTAATCACTTAAATTTTATAATTTAATGTAATTTAAACTATATAATATATTTTTTATTTTAAATTATATAATAAAAACAGTTACCTCTCATCCCTCAACCTATTCCCCTCAAGTGGCATGCGGCTTAAGTTGACTATATAATACTGTTTTTAATACTTTCTAGTATGTTACCCTTATATTTTCCCTACGCGTACAGCCTACCCTACGCGTCCATGACGGCAGTTTATGTTTCCGAACTGCAAAGTCAGGCAAGCACTGGAGGGGCACGGACTCGGACAGTCACCTCTTTTAATTTATTTAAAGGGATTTTCTATGACATAAATTAGGAATGCAATTGATGTATTCTTAGTGATGAAGCCAAATAAAAAAAATGAGTTAAATGATGTTTAAAAAAAAAATGAGTTAAATGTAACCAAGCCAATCAATACTTCGTCTTCAAGGTTTTTATTTTTTTTATTTTTTTATTTTTATTTTAGTTGTACAACAGGTGTATAACTTTTTTTTATTTTTTATTTGATTTTATTCGTATACCATGCAACTCGAATTCATAATCTCTTATTTTCAGCGAAAAAAAACTCAAGATCTTTTATTTTCAACGAAAAAAATTATCATTGAATTATTTATATCATTGGCTAAATTTTAGTATTTGACTTTAGCTAGTTGAAAACTCAACTTCTGTTAATCACTTAAAAAAATATATTTTCATTTCCCAAAATTCTCTATGTTAAAAAAAAAAAAAGAAAAAGAAAAAAGTTAAATGGAAAATTTAATCACTAAATTTTTTGTTTTGAACTATTTTTGTTTTTTAAACTATATTTTTGTTTTTTTTTCATTCTTTAATTATGAAAATTGTTTTTTTTTTTTGTATTTTTGTTAATTTTGTCTATTAAGTTTGTATAATTGACATTTTTTTGTCATTAAACTTTTGTGTAAAAAATTAGTTTAAAAGCTAAAATTATCAAATTTCAAAATTCAAAAACTAAATTTGGCATTTAACCAAAACAAAAATGTTATTTTTATTTTAAGAAAATGATTGAAAAATAATTTTTTATATAACTTTTTTTATCTTATTTACACAATGAGAGACAATATTAATTCATCTTTTATTTTTTACCTCACCCGCATATTATATGATTTAAATTTAGAACTTCTTACCGACCTCATTGGCTTTATATATTTTTTAATATAACTTTAATATTATTTAATTATTGATTTTTTTTTTTCATTTTGCTAAGACCCATAATATTATATAAATCTATGTATCTACTTATTTAATAAATAAATGTAGGACAAAAATTTATACCGATACATATATTATTACCCTTCATTTGAGCATCAATGCCATATGTATCATTTTAATTGATTAATCTATAAATTTAAGTCAATCTTTATTTTTTTTTTCTTTATAATTTAATTACTAAAAGAATTATTAATTGCTTTATTAACTTCTATTCTTAGAGCACATGTTGAAAAAACTTGTAATTTAACAACATGAGGCTGTCTCCATTTAATCATTTAATTTTATAATTTAATGTAATTTAAACTATATAATACATTTTTTTATTTTAGATTATATAATAAAAAACAATTATCTCTCATCCCCTCAAGTGCCATGTGGCTTAAGTTGACTATAGAATACTGTTTTTAATATTTTTTTAGTACGTTACCCTTATATTTTCCCCTCTTTATTGTTGTCTTTTTTTTTTTAGGTAAATAGCATTTCCCCCCCTCCCCCCGCTCCAGACTTCTTTGTATTAGTTGTATAAATGTTCTAATATTTCTTTCTGTCCAATTGTATCCCTTTCCTTTTGGGAATGGGAATATCTAATTATGAGATTTAAACTCAACATTTTTTAAGCTAATAAAATGTACTTTACTAATTGAAGTACAAGTTTATTCCTAATTCTTTCTTAAATCTTTTGATTACAATCAATTATGCTCAAGTTGTTATTCTCTTACTTAATAATGAAGTATTTATCAACATTCTAAATAACTAAATGATATTTTTTTTTCAATAAAAATAAAAGATATTGAGTTTAAATTATATAAGATGCAAGTAAAGTAAATTAAAATATGTAAAAAATTTACCTCTAATTATGCAACTCAAAACAAAAAGTTATAAGATATCTTTTCCAATACTACAAATCCTCACTAGCTGTCATAGTTGTTGAGCTAATATAAAATCCCTAGAATAGAGTAAAAGCCTTAGAATCTCAAGTAAATTAGTACTCTTTCCATCTCAAAACAACTTTCATTTTTTATTTTTTCACAAATTAAGAACAAAAAGTTATAAGATATCTTTTGCAATACTACAAATCCTCGCTAGCTGTCATAGTTGTTGAGCCAATAAAAAATCCCTAGAATACAGTAAAAGCCTTAGAATCTCAAGTAAATTAGTACTCTTTCCATCTCAAAACAACTTTCATTTGTTTTTCACAAATTAATAATTTAAGGACAATGTTTACCTATATTACTTTAAAAAAATAATGAGAAAATTGTGATAATACAGTAGAAAATTAAAGTTAATGGGTAAGTATGGTGTTAATTTTTTTAAAAAAATATGTCTCTTTTAAAAATTAAAAAAATGACAGTCATGTAAGAAAATTTTTGAATAAAAAAACTGATAATTATTTTGGTGTAGTGGTAGCGGAATTTTTGTGGTTAGAAATTAGACTTTTTTAGTAGTGCTTTATTTTCAATCCAGAGGCATTCATGTCAATATCAAGTTGTAATTGGTGCGGATATATTAAGTTAGGATTGTGGAGAATCTGTCATTCTTGACAATTTAAATGCTATGAATATTACCAATAA